TTTTTTTGACATAGGGTCTCACTATGAAATTCAGGCTGGCCTTGAGCTCACTGTGACATATTTTTTTGGTACCGGGGATCAAACTCAGGACCTTGCACTTATGAGGCAGGCAGTGGCACCACTGAGCTAAATCCCGGACTTGAACTCACTATGTAGCCCAGGCTGGTCTCAAACTCTTTGCAATCCTCCTGCCTCAGCCTCCCAAATGCTGGGGTAACAGATGTGTGCCACTACACTGGGCTCTGGTTTGTCTCTTTTTCTTTTTGGTACCTGGAATCGAACTCAGGCCCTTGCACTTGCAAGGCAGGTTTTGGAACCACTGAGCCAAATCCCCGGCCCTGGTTTGTTTCTTATTATCCCTCTAAAATTGTGTTATGGAGATGATGACCCTTTTTCTTCATGTACTCATGTACTCATTCTTTAGAGATGTGTATTGTCTAAGCTTTATTTATAATTTGTTTACCTTGAATTGTGTTTTTGTTTTTGTTTTGTGGTGTTAGGGATCCAAATCAGGGCCTCATACATGCTTGGAAAGTGCTCTATCACTTAGCTATACTTGCAGGCCCCAATTCTGATTTTACATCCTTTGTGTGGACCTGCTTTTGTGGCTTCTGCTGTTACTACTGCTGTTGGTATTCACACGTGTGGGGGGCAGGGAACAGTATATATGTTTTCTAAAATAACCAAACCTCTAATGTCTCTTTTGCTTCCGCTATTTTAAAATAGCTGAAAAAAAATGTGATCATTGAGATATATTCCCAGCCCTTAATTTATATTCTTATGATAAAGTTACTTTAAATCTAAGGACACTGTACAAACACTTCTCATTTAGTGACTGAGTTCCAGTCCTACAGCTAGGTCCTTAAATGAATGAATTGGTCAGTAAGTGAGGAATTGTGTATACGATGTACATTACAATATCCAGAACAAAAAACTAGTCAAAGGAAACTCCTCCAACTTGGTGGCTTTGCTTTTATTTGCATAACTCTTACATGCAGTACTGTAATGTGTAGTAGAACATACAACTACAGTACTATACTGTACAGTATAACCAGCAAAAATTACAGTACTGTATAAGGTGTACTGTACCCCCCAAAAGACACTGAGCCTTTATTAACAAGATGTACAGACTGTAAAAGAAAGGTCCTAAGTGTGAGCAGTACGCCTCGGTTGTAAGTGCACAAGTCATTAAACAGATAGGTTGTTAAACAAGGAATATCTGTGCCAGGCTCTGATTATTTTGGTCAGGGTAGTGAGGCAGATTAGGGTGTGGCCACATAGCTGGGGAAATGGATGTGACCTGTCAGTCACAGAGATCCAGGACGCTTAAGCCCATGCCCTGTACCTGGGACCAATCAAAGAAAGCTGTCTTTGGTTCTTCTGGGCCAAAATCAAGCAGGTTTTTGATAGGACACCCTTGATCTGACTTCTGCAAATAGGAGGGATTGAAGGGAGGGGAGGGGAATGGGGGAAGAAAAATAAGAACCAAAATAGATTATGTAAAGGTGCAAAATTCCCATGATGAATGTCATTATATTATGTACCTAAAATGTACCAATAAGGGCCTGGGATTTAGCTCAGTGGTGCCGCTGTCTGCCTCAAAAGTGCAGCTTCCTGAGTTTGATCTCTGGTACCCCCCGCAAAAAAAATACCAATAAAATTAATTTTAAAAAATAAAGAAAGACATATGCAATATGACTATAAACGCAGGAATAAGCATTAAGAGATTGAATAGAATAGCTAAGGTAATTAACTAGATTTCTAGTCTAAGTTTACTTTTCCTTTATACTGCAAGGCTTAGCTTTGGGTTTCCTGGCAACCAAAGTAGAGTTTTTGGCTCTTGATTGGCACAACCCATGTGGTTAAAATTCGAAAAGCATGCATTCTTTGCTATTCTCAAGTAGTTTATGTCACTGCAGTGCTGAAGATCAGACCCATGCTACGTTAAGCACTCTAAGTTGAGCAACCCTAAGCCATTCAGACCCTTCAAGCCATTGTTTTGACTTCTTGTAGTTATCATTCACAGGACCAGCTTCCTCTTCTGTACATGCCGGAGCGGAGCGCTTCCAGAGGTTGCGTTTCTATGGTGTTTCCAGAAGATAGACTGTTTGCGTCAAAATCTTCTGAGTGTGTATGTGCAGGTGACAGTGTATGTAAGGTTGTTAAAAATGCAGATTTGGGGCCTGCATCCCACATCTATTAAATCTCAGTCTCTGGAGATTCCAAGAAACTGCATGCTTTTCAGGCACATGGTGACTTGATGTACAGTAAAATTTAAGAAGCTCAGCTTATGTGCTAGTAGCTGTAATTACTGAGCACCATGAGCATAGGTATCAAATTATTTGATTCATTCATTTTTCACTTTTTCTTACATAAGAAAGTTTTATTAAGTAAGCGGCTAGGATGTTGGCACTATACACGGTGCTGGGGATGTGGGCATGAATGAGACATCATCTTCTCTAGAAGTTGACAGTGTAAGAGGAAAACAGACTGGTAAGTAAATGATCTCAGTGTAGAATAAATACAACCAGAGAGGTTAGGTTAGACAAGGAAAATTACTTAGAAAAGATGTTATGTCCCCAATTCTTGGTAAGTATGTACTGAATTGGATTGGATTGTGCTATGCTGGTGCTCTGAATAAGCCTGGCTTTACATTAATCCTTTATATGTAAACTTGATTAGACTTTCTGTTTTTTAAAATGCCACTGAGCCACATTGTGACTATAAAGTCTGTGCGTCATTGTTGTTTGAAGATGTGTTGCTTGTTTCCTACAGGTCACCAGTATAACATACCGGTTCGTTTCTGGATTTTGGATTCTCATCCTTTTGCTCCTCCCATTTGCTTCTTGAAGCCAACTGCAAATATGGCAATCTCAGTTGGAAAACATGTGGATGCTCAAGGCAGAATATACTTGCCCTATCTCCAAAACTGGAGCCATGTAAGATCAATTTGGATTTTTTCAAAAAAGTTTTTATTTTTCTGAATGAATTATACTGCATTTTCTTTCAGTGATATTCTTCATATGATCTTTCAAAGTAATTTGAAATTGAACTATCTAGGGTCACCCAGTGCTCAGCACCTGTATAACGCTGTGGTCTCCAGGTTTGGCGCCAGCTGTTGTTTTGCTTCTTGTCCTTTTATAGCCATTTACCACTTGAAGAAGCATGTGAAAAGCTACTGCCCAAGATATTGGGGCGTTATTGCTTAGTTTTTCCCGATTAAACATTTTTTTACATAAGCCGGTTTGGTGGTACACCGCTGTAGTCCCTGCACCCAGGAGGCTGAGGTAGGAGGACTGATGTGAGTTCGAGGACAGCCTGGGCTACACAGTGATTTAAAGAAAAAGGATTTTTTTTTTGGTACCGGGGATCAACTCAGGTCCTTGCACTTGCAAGGCAGGCAGCGGCACCACTGAGCTAAATCCCCGGCCCAGAAAAAAAGATTTTTATGACATTTATATATTTACTTATTTGTAATTTGTCTGTTTTTGACCTTTGTGTAAGTTGAATCAGACAATATGTAATATTCTGTGATGCAGTTTGTTCTAAGTGAACATTAAGGTTTTGTTGTTTGCAATGCTGGGGCTCAAACTCCATTTCTTGTTCATGTTAGGCAAGCACTGTATCATTGAGTTACTCCCCTGGCCTCAGCATTAAGTGTTTTGTTTGTTTGTTTGTTTTATTTTGTTTTGGTACCAGGGATGAACTCAGCGGACCTTGAGCTTGTGAGGCCGGTGGTGGCACCACTGAGCTAAATTCCTGGCCCTGTTTTTGTTTTTGAGACAGGTTCTCACTGTGTAGTTCAGGCTGGCCTTGAATTCACAATAATCCTCCTACCTCAGCCTCCTGGGATTATAGGTGTTCACCACCAAGCCCGGCCTCAGCATTGAGGGTTTTGTTTTTTTATTTTGGTACCTGGTGTCAAACTCAGGACCTTGCACTTGTGAGGCAGGCGTGGTGCCACTGAGCTGTATCCCTGGCCGAGCATTGAGTTTTTAAAATTTATCCTCATTGATGTATAGAAGAGCAGTTTATTTGTTTTACAAGTCCTCTTGTTATGAAATTTTATGCACGTTTCTTATTATATTAAGATAATAATAAGCTGTTTTTGAAATGTATGGTTCCCTAATGATCCAACATAAGGTTATTACATAATAATATATCTCTAAATTGCTCTATAATAAGAAATGTAATATGGATTTTCCTTAAATATAAATATTGTTTATATCTTAAGTATCTTTAATGATTTCCTAATGACACATTATTGGGTCAAAGGTTTTAAAATATTTTTAGGTTTCCTTGTGTATTGCCAAACTTCAAAAAGATGAAGTGTGGCATTTCTGCCATCAGCAGAAATCAGTGGAGAGCAGTAATCAGAGGTCCTATCCTTAAAGTAAAGCTTTGCTTAACTCTGTGTATTGAAAGATGTGCAAGATGCCATTGCTTTTGTAAGTAATTAAAAGCTTTATAAAGGATGGCTATTTTATATGCACTCAGAAGGCTGAAGATCTGGAGCTCAGGGATAGTTGGAGTTGAGTGAGGCTGGAGTAGGAGATGGCATTAGGATATCACCTCTTGTTATATGGGCATATTGTCAAGAGATTTGCAGTTATGAAGCCAGGCGTGGTGGTGCATGCCTGTAATCCCAGCACTCGGGAGGCTGAGGCAGGAGGATCGCTGTGAGTTCGAGACCAGCCTGGGCTACATAGTGAGTTCCGGGTCATTCTCAACTACATAGTGAGACCCTATCTCAAAAAAAACTGAGAGAGAGAGAGAGATTTGCAGTTATGGGAATTTTACTTGGTTTCTATAGTGTTCTGTTTTTGTTTGTTTTTTTTGGTACCAGGGATCAAACTTGGGTCCTTGTGCTTGAGAGGAAGGCAGCGGAACCACTGAACTACATCCCCGGCTTGGTGTTCTGTAGTTTTCCAACATAAAACCTTTAAATGAAGAAAAATGGAAATAGAGAAAGAAAGGATACATGCTGTGTTGTCAGTATTGGAGCTGACTGACTTTACGAAGTTGATGATTTCTTTTCCCCTTGGTACCTTGAATTAAACTCGGGACCTTGAGCTTGCCAGGCAGGTAGCACTGCTGAGCTACATCCTTGGCCCCATTACTTGATGATTTAAATAAGATTGCCACTTAAGTGTAATAAATGGGGCGCGATAAAAATTTCTCAGTTGGAAGGATGAAAGCAGTATCTCAATCTGTTTGTTTGTTGTTGATTAGGACAGGGTTTCACTGTGTAGTTGAGGTTGGCCTTGAACTCACTATACAGCACGGGCCTCATATTCCCAGCAGTCTTCTTGCCTCACCTCCTGAGTGGTGAGATTTATAGCTGTGTGCCACCATGCCCAGCTAAATCTTAATTTTCAGTTACTTGGTTATTTGAGAAATTTAAATCTTTTTCATGTATTTATCAGTCATGTATGTTTCTTCTTTTATGAATTGTCCGTCTACTCTCCTCCCCCTTCGCCTTTTGCTTTCTTTTTTTTGCAGGAGGGGGGTAGTGCTGGGGATTAAACCAGGGCCTTGGGCTAGGCAAGTGCTGTACCTTGAGTCACGTCCTCAAACCATGTTCTGATACCTGTGCCCTGTTGCAGGAATTCATATAACCTATTTCTCCTCTCTGCTTTTCTTTGGCATCTCTTAGTTCTGTTTGTTTAATAAATACTCAGTGATAGTCCTATAATTTAATTGAGGTATTGTTTTCAGCATAGACAGTACTGATTTCATTTTTCTATTCCAAGCTTGTTTATTATAAGCTAAAACTAGTCTTTAAAGGCTAGTACGTTATTCAAGTTTCCCTATTTAAAGTACTATAGGATCTTTAGGTTCCTGACACAGTTGTAATGATATTATATGGAATTTTGGAGATAGAATCCAGAGGTCACGTAGGCCAGGGAGTGCAGTTTCCTGAAGGGATTCATGGAGCTGCATAGGTCTGCAGGATTTAGTTTGGAGAGCTCAGTGGCTTTGTTTTACTTTGTTCAGTTTGGAATATGAACACGAATGCCTGTAGGGCGCTCTTTCCAGTTTGCCACAATAGCCAGCTCTCCAGATTTCCTAATCCTTGGCAGCTTGACACATTTCACATTATCTGCTTTGTCTTGAAAGGTATTTTGGTTAGTTTTTTTCCGCACGGGAGTTTGAACCAGGACCTTGTGCTTGCGAGTCAGGTGTGGTGCCACTGAGCTAAATCCCCAGCTCCCAGGATTTTAGTTTTTATGGCTTTTTTTTATTTGGTACCGGGGATCAAACTCGGGTCCTTGCACTTGCAAGGCAGGTGACAGAACCACTGTGCTAAATCCCCAGCCCAGGATTTTATTTTTTGACTGATGGTATCTTCTTAATTTCAACATAGCAAAACCCAAACTCAGAAATGAAACACTTTTTTTTTTTTTTGGTTTTTTGAGACAGGGTCTGACTATGTAGTTGAGACTGAACTAGAACTCACTATGTAGCCCAGGCTGGTCTCAAACTCACAGCGATCCTCCTGCCTCAGCCTCCCAAGTGCTGGGATTACAGGCATGCGCCACCACGCCTGGCCGAGAAATGAAACACTTTTTAAGTGAGTGTACTACTACCAAATATTCCTGATTATAATAATAAGCATTAGTTCACTCTCATAGCTTGTTTCCATGTATTAGCTCATTTGTATTTCCTAACAGGCACTGGGCTCATTATTCACATTGTATTATCGATAACACTTGAGCTCAGAAAGGTTAAGTGAATTTCATGAAGGTTGTTTAACCAGTTAAAAGAAAACAGTACCATATTGAAAAAATTTTTAAAGGAAATACATTCTGTAGGTTTTAGGGATAGAGGGCATCATGTCTACATTTGATTCTGACTTGATTAAAAAAAAGAAACTAAGAAAGCATATATGATAAAATGTTAACATTTGAGTGATCTGGGTGAAGAGTGCATGTACTATTTTTATACCTATTCTGTAAGTCTGAAATTATTTCAAAATGAAAAGTTAAAAAATATATAGTTCCCAAGCCTAGATATTTTACTACTAAGTGTATTCATTCTGTTTTCCTAACTTTTAGGGATGTTGACAGCATTATTTGCCTTTAATTTTATGGGCTTGTGGAGTATTTTCCATGAGATCTTCAGGGAGAATAGTATATTAATAGAATTTGACTTCATTTTTTTAGTTAAAAGTATTAAAATGACTAAGAGTATCACATAATTTGTGCAGTAACTTTGGAAAAGTGAGAATGTGTTTTGATGATCTGATTATCCATTAAAACACTGGGTGACACTAATCTCAGTTTGTCCAGTAAATTACACATTGCAGTAAAAAGTGGTTCTCTTGTGTTTTTCACTCTATGTAATACACATAACATAGAAAATATGTGTTAATTGGCTATTATGTTACTGCTAAGGGTTCTGGTGAACCACAGGCTGTTGGCAGTTACAAAGTTATTCTCAGATGTCCCACTGCACATGGCTCAGGTCCCTAACCCCTCATTGTTCAGGGGTCAACTCTGCATTCTTTTGGCTAACTCTATGACAGTGTACAGATTTAAAAGATAGTACTTTTCAGCAAAATCGTTGTGTAACTTTTCCTTTGTGTGTATTATACAGCCTAAATCTGTCATTGTTGGATTAATTAAAGAAATGACTGCCAAATTTCAAGAGGAACTTCCCCTGTATTCTCTGCCATCATCCGAGGAAGCTCGGCAGGCAGACTTGCTGGCCTATATTGCAAAAATCACCGAAGGTTTGTATTTTTGTTATCAGATTGCCTGAAGAGTTATGAATTTACAATTTGTCACTAATACCCTTTACTCCTTGCTACTTGATTTCTATAAATCAGTATGTGTGTTCAATAAAAAATTCATATACATCTATCATAAGGTTTTACCATACAATTTCCTAAAGTGTGAAAACTTACTTTATATTGATAATTCTTGTTTTGTTCAAAACCACCTCATACATATTAACGATCCCAAACCTTTTTCACTATATATTTACATACTTTTTTGACTTATTCAGTACCCTGGACTACAAGACCTGTAGTTCTTATTGCTTCTTCTTGAGAATAAAGAGAGAGACTTATGCTTGGAAAATCTCAGCAGGTATAGACCAAAGCAGTACGAATCAGAATGTTTTTGAGAACTATGGAAACCTGACATTTTTAGAGTCTTCTATTAAAATTTGATATATTTTTTAAAGATTCCAAACAATCTTTGGTATTTTTATTGAATTCTCAGAATAACCCCCTTTTCTTTATAGGTGTCTCAGATATAAACTCAAAGAGTTGGACAAGTCATGAGAACAAAACAGCCAATAAAATTACTGTGGTTGGAGGTGGAGAGCTGGGCATTGCCTGTACGTTAGCAATTTCAGCAAAGGTAGGTGAGCACAGTAGTTATCATTACTTCTGCCATGGTGCCACCATACTCTTAGGCAGTTTAAATGTTAAGATCCAAAAAATAATGGCTTGATTTTGTCATTAGGACAAAATATAGTAGGTTGACAAAAAAAAGCTTAGAGCTCTTATCAGTGATGTTACCTCTTAATTAGTAGTTAACGTTGAATAGGCTTTGAAAAAGTGATTTGAACAATGAGCTCATCGTAATGCAAGGGGAGCTTCAAGCTGACCTTCACCGGACTTAGTCACAAGTTCTTTTTTGTTTTCTGAATCATGCTACTTCAGTTAATCTTATTTAAGGTAATATTTAATTTCAGTTCTTTCTAAAATTATTAAAGAAAAGAATTGCCTTATATAATTATTTTCTTTTAGAATCACAGTTTGAGTTAATATTTTCCATTAGTTTATGATTTACTTTTTGTCAGTCTTCTTTTCTCAATCCTTTCTAAATACATTATTTACATAAAGGCTTAACAGCACTTCCAGAGAGGTGAGAGACCTGCCTTCGCTCGCCCGTGAGCAGCACATCTTGTGCATCATCTGAGAGATGGAGCCTAGAACACTGCAGCGTCACGCCATGCATTTATTTGGTGGCTGACAGTTTTTGTTTTTCTACTGTTATTGTTTTGCCTTCTAAATTCTTCCCTTTCCTTTTAAGACTCACACATACCCTGAAAGTAGGTTCTACTTCAGTAAATAATTAAATTATGTCCAAGAAGAGCTATAGACATTTAAAAACTGGCTGCTCAGAACAATATACGCTAATTTTGGGTATATGATAGTTTCATTCTCTTTACCTTCTGTCTGAATACATCATATATACGTATATACATATATGTGTGTGTGTATATACATACATATATATCATACCCTGAAAGTAGGTTCTACTTCAGTAAATAATTAAATTATGTCCAAGAAGAGCTATAGACATTTAAAAACTGGCTGCTCAGAACAATATACGCTAATTTTGGGTATATGATAGTTTCATTCTCTTTACCTTCTGTCTGAATACATCATATATACGTATATACATATATGTGTGTGTGTATATACATACATATATATATATATAAGCTAAATCCCCAGCCCTACACCATTGTGTTTTAATTGGAATTTGAGTTGTGTTCAGTTCACGATTATTAAATGAAATGCTTCTGTAAACATTCTTTTGTAAGTTGCTTATTTTCCTATCTGAATTAGTTTCTTTGAGGAATATACCATCTCAAAAACGGTACCACCCCGGGAATTAGCTCAGTGGTGCTGTGCCTGCCTCAAAAACAGTACCAGTACGCCAGTGGACACAGGTTATTTCAAGACAAGACTGCTCTTCAGAAAGGCAAAACTAGTGTATGCTTCTAACAATAATGTGGATGTCAGTATGAGTTTTGATGTCCCTACTAGTGTTGAGTCTTGTTAATTTTATTTGTATTTATGTCTTTTTTAAAAAAACATGAGAAAGCACCTCAAAGTCAAAGTCATATCTCTTTTTTTTTTTTTTTTGGTACCAGGGATTGAACTCGGGTCCTTGCACTTGCAAGGCAGGCCACCGAACCGCAAAGTCATATCTCTTGACCATAGGAAGACTCTCACACACTATTTGGCTGTGAACTCTTTTTTTTGGGTACCGGGGATCGAACTCAGGACCTTGTGCTATTATTACTAGGGACTGAACCCAGCTAGCAGAGAGAGGCTACCTCTGAGCTATGTCTCCACCCCTTTTAAAGTTTTATTTATTTATTTATTTATTTATTTATTTCCAGTATGAGGGATCGAACTCAGGACCTTGCACTTGTGAAGCTGGTGCGGTGCCATTGAGCTAAATCCCTGGCCCTTACAATTTTAAATGGTTCCACTTTTTGCAACTTTAGTAGTTTGGTCCTAATGCAACAATAATAGTGGTTCAGTAATGGCAGTGGTAGTAATGAAAGTAGCGAAGTAAGTGCCCTTAGCTAAATGCTAACTAGGTGCCAGGCACTTGTCTAAACATTTGACTCATTTTTTGCAACAACCTAATTGCCTAGGCAGTGCTTTTAGCTGCCATTTCTCAAATGAAGAAACCAAGACATTGGGAGTTTAGCCAACTTGCCCAAAGTTACACTGTTAATAAATGGAGGAGCAGCATTTGCAGACAGGTCATCTGCAGACTAGAACCTGTACTCTTTTTTTTTTTTTTTTTTTTGGTGTGGGGATCGAACTCCGGTCCTTGCCCTTATGAGGCAGGCAGCGGAACCACTGAGCTAAATCCCCGACCCTAGAACCCGTACTCTTAATCCATACTGCTCATACTGTACCTCTCAGACTGGCAACATTCATCTTCTAAGATTTGTTAAAAATGCATAATCTTACTGGCGTAGTGGTGCATGCCTGTAATCCCAGCACTTGGGAGGCAGAGGCAGGAGGATCGCAGTGAGTTTGAGGCCAGCCTGGGCTACATAGTGAATTTAAGGCCAGTCTGTACTATATAGCAAGACCCTGTCTCAAAAAACAAAGAAACAAAAACAAAACAAAACAAAAAAAGAAATGCATAATCTTACTCTAAATCTGCATTTTTAGTGAAATCCTGATGATCCATACACTTCACTGATCCTTCAAAGCTTGAGCAGCTCTTCTCTAAGCCCCTATATTATACTGCTCTATGATGAACATTTTGGTTGATTTTAACTTTTTTAATATCCTTATACATACTTTATTATTTTTCACATGTTCTAATAAATTTGCAGGATAATTTCTGTAAATGCAATTGATGGATTAAAGAAGTTGTTAAATTGAGATTTTAAAATGTTTTAGAGGCAGGGACATGGGGAAAAAAATGAGAACCAAGATCTGTCATGTAAAGGTACAAGATCCCAATGGTGAATGTAACTGTACTGTATACTTAAAAAGTACCAATAAACTCAATGAGAAAAAAAATGTCTTAGATTGGAAATTGTCAAATTATCACCAGTATCATTTGTACCAGTTTATTCTCACATCTATAATGTATGAGAATACCTATTTCCCCACAGTTGCTTTTATTAAACATTTGGACCTTTGTGTGTCTGATAAATAAAAATTTCCTAATGAGTGTGGCTAACAATAAAGTGAATAGCTGTGATTTAGAGGACTACTATATACCCATCCTGTATCATATAATTAATCTCACAGCCATATAAAATAAGGTTGCCAAGTGTTACATAGCTAACCGATAGTACAGTGATGTTTTCTCAGTCATTGTGCTTTCTGTCTGTAGTCATCTGGCACTTTTACCCCAGCATGCTCAAGTATTCCACTGCTTTGGAAAAGTCCTACAAACTCTAGAAGCTTCGTAGTGTTGCAGTCAGTCCTCCATGCTACTCAGGGAGCCATTTGTGGGAATGTGGAGTGTTTTCCGTGAGCTCTCCAGAGAGGATACCATTTGACATAGAATTTGATGCTAGATTTGTGGCTATTCCTCCACACCCTTTTAAAAAGAGAAACTGGCATTAGTTTTGACTTTCATGCTAGGAATGAGATGCTAAAATAGTCCCCCAAACCATTCTAAACTTTCAGAATGGAAAGTATGACATCAAAATGAAATATAAGCTCAGGAGCAGTAACAAACTTTTTTATTACATATCCCATCAAAGAAACCAGCCACCTGTCGCTTCTGAGTTAAGCCCCGTTAGAGTCTGGTTTTTGTAGCCAAACTTTTTCTTTCTTTTTTTTTTTTTTTTTTTTAGTACCGGGGATGATCAAACTCAGGTCCTTGTGCTTGCGAGGCAGGCGGCGGAACCACTGAGCTAAAGTCCCGGCCCTTTGTAGTCAAACTTAAGTGATCACATTATTTGAGTTCAGAATTTCATCACTTTTATTGCTGTGGTGTTACTTTTACTTCTGGAAGTTCACAAGGACTCTGTTAGCTCTTTCTTCTCCCTTTGCCCCTCAGTACTGAGGATTGAACCCATGGAGTGGGTTTTATTCCCAGCCATTTTTCCCCCCCAGGACAGGGTCTCACTAAGTTTTCTTCGGTTGGACTCAAACCTACATTTTGCTTGTCAGCTTACCTAATAGTTGAATCACAGGCTGTGCCTGGCTAGCCCTCATGCCTTAATGAATTTAAATTGAGTAGCCACCTGGTGTAATGCTGTTCATTTTCTTATTGTACTGTACAGGGCATTGCAGATAAGCTGGTCCTTCTGGACTTCTCAGAAGGGCCTAAAGGAGGGACCATGGACCTAGATATCTTCAGCCTGCCTAATGTGGAGATCAGCAAAGGTTTGGTTATTGTTTGATTATTCTACTTAAAGTTGTTTGCTTTACTTGCTCTTGAATTTGAGTCCTACATTTGGGGGGTGGGCTCTGCTAGGGACCGAGTCCTATAATTTTAATGCTGAAAAGTGTCTTGAAAATCACCTGGTTCAAATCCTTCATTCTACATATTAGGAAACAGCGATTCAACTGATTTAAGTGATTCACCCTGAATCATACAGAGATTGTAACTAATTATGTTAGGAAGAGTCAAATGAACATTTTATCTCTGGCATTCGTCAGATTAATCTCTCAAAGTTCAGTTATCTCATCTTTAAAGTGGGAATAGTAATATCTACTTCTTGGTATATAGAAATGTTAAACCAAACATATTCAAAATATTTTAATAAAAACAAATATATATCAATAAATAGAAACTTTAAATGTTAAAACAATTATTTGGGGGGCTAGGGATTTAGCTCAGCGGTTCAGTGGCCTGCCTTGCAAGCACAAGGACCCGAGTTTGATCCCCGGTACAAAAAAAAAACAAAACAATTATTTGCCAGCCCAATGGGAGGTTTTTTTTTTTCTTTCTTTCTTTTTATGAAATGAGGTGGTTCTGCTTTGCCCTGGGTGGCCTCTAACCCCTGGGCTCAAGCAATCCTGCTTCCTCAAATTCTCAAGTTTGAGAATGCACTTGGCTTTTATCTCATCCTTTTAATTTAAAAAATTTGCACCTGTTTTAGTGCCAATTTTTTTTTGGGGGGGTGGCAGGGATCGAACTCAGGTCCTTAAACTTACAAGGCAGGCGGCGGAACCACTGAGCTAAATAAATCCCCAGCTGCACCTATTTTATAACGTCCATGACATTTTAGTACAGACACATTTAAATAGGTAAATTACCATATTTTGGGATATAGGCTTCAAAATACTTTACTGCTGGAAATGCATGATAAAAAAAAAATCAAGAGGCTGTTAAATCAAACATATTTCCTGAAACCTTTGCACTCATTCAGTGATGGGAAACCTTTTAGAGATGAGTGCCCAAACTACAATCCAAAACCCACTTCTTTATCACAAAGTGCCAACGCTGCAACTGAACCTGAATACTGAGGTTTTAGTTTAGAAAAAAACAACTCATACATTAACATCTTTTGTCTTTAAAGAAAAATAAATAACACACATGCCATGAGTTCGCCACCGCTACTCTGGTTTATAGGTAAGGTCAGATTGTACGTGCTGCGGTCATTTGGCTTTGCCTTTCCTTAGCTCCCTGGATCCCTTGACCATGTCTTCCAGGTAATATTTGAAGCTACAGTCTCACAGCCTGCAAAGTACTAAGAACAGTGGTCAGAAAATTGGAGATTATACCTGTCAGATACAAAAATTGGGTGTTAACAGTTTTTGTTACAGCTTTTGTTTTGGGTGTTGCAGTCTTAATTCCTGTAGGAGACGCTGGGTTATTTTTGGTTTCCGGAAAGAGTGCTGTAGTTGCTTTGATGAGGCTCCCTTTGGGAGCTGGGTATTCTCTTGTGCCTATCATTTCCAGGTACTGCAGTTCTTCAGGGACCTCTTATATCATCTAAATTGCTTTAAGGGACTTTAGTACATGGACCCTGGAGCCTGTGATCTGTTTCAACCTGAGGAAATTGTTTCTTCCTATGTGTCTCATTAAGCATCAGTGACTGTTGCTTCAGATGTGTGAAGTAGATGTGCGGTGCATGGTGCAAGCCACCAAGTAGGGACATGAATTAACTCCTGAAAGTTGAATGAGTGAGTGTACATCATCTTGGGGCAAATTTCCTGTTCTCAGTAATAATTTTTTTTGTGTTTTGAGGCAGGGTCTCACTGTGTAGTTGAGACTGACCTGGAACTCACTATGTAGCCCAGGCTGATCTCAAACTCACAGCGATCCTTCTGCCTCAGCCTCCCAAGTGCTGGGATTATAGGAGTGTGCCACCACGCCTGGCTCAGTATTAATTTTGGTTGTATGCTTCTGATGGTGCTCCGTTTCATTACTGTTACATGGAGTAATTTTAAATGCAATGGCAACACCTTATATGTGTATGATATCAGGAAGTAAATTGATAATTTGGGGAATTAAAGCTCATTTGGAAGTTTTAGTAATGCCCCATCATGCCATTCACAAATGATTGCAACTGACGGGTCATTCTAGAGTTATGTTTTTCTCCATTTGGATTTTTAAAATAGCTACTATAATATTTTGGGGAGAGATTTACACATGATCATGCAAACTCCTATACATTTGTATGCATAAATAGTTAGGCTTGTGTATGCATGAACTGAACCTGGGAAAATACTAATAAATCATTCAGTTGCTTTGGGAGTCAGAATGAGGGATCTGGCTATGCTTATTTTTTTGGCACAGAACCACATACTGTTCTGATTTATTTAAAGCCCTTTCTTTATTGTGTTATAGACATAACATAAAATTACCTTTAAGAACTTTTGGAACTAATAATGTGTATTGTGTACATTCACACTGTTCTGCAGTCATCACCATTATCTGCTTGCTAGAGCATTTTCATCACCCTCAGGGAAACTGTAGACACATTAAGCCTACAGTTGTTTCTCGGTATCTGTGACGGATTGGTTCCAGGACCCCCATAAATAGCAAAATCTACAGATGTTCAGGTCCCTTACATAAAATGATGTAGAGTTTGCGTCTAACCTACTCACATCCTCTTTACACTTTAATTCAACTCTAGTTACGGATATGTAAATGCTGTGTAATCCATTGCTATACTGTGTAGTTCAGAGAGTAATGATGAAAAGGGAAAGTCTGTATGTGTTCAATGCATTGTTTTCTTCTGGCAGTGCTGGGGATTTTTCCCCCACTACTTTGGATCTGCAGTTGGTTAAATCCATAAATGTGGGCCCACGGATGGGGGCCCTACTGTAAATGCAATGATACAACGTAGCCTTTTGTGTGTGGCACCTTCCGCATGGCATAGTGTTTCCAAGGCTCGCTTGCAGTCAGCGTGCGTCGGTGCATTCTTCCATTTTATGGCTGAGTACTGCTGCATGTTACGGAGACAGAGCATTCGACCTACCTGTAGATCAGGGGTGTACATTTGAGTTGTGCCTTTTCACTGTGCTGCTGTGAAGAGTGCTTCTGTGAACGTTCAGGTGCATTTTTTAAAAAACACCCGTGTCCAGTCTTTTGGGCAAATACACTCAAAAGTGCAACTGCAACTGCTACATCTGGCATTCTGTTTAAGAAGAAATAAATATTACACTTTAACTTTTTGGGTTTTTTTTTTTTTTGTGTGTATTGGGAATTGAACTCAGGACCTTGTGTTTGTGAGACAGGCGGCTTAATCCCCAGTCCAAGTTGTGTGTGTGTGTGTGTGTGTGTGTGTGTGTGTGTGTGTGTGTGTTTTTAATGTAGCACAGGCTAGATTCTTCCTCACTATGTAGCTCAGGCTAGCCTCAAACTCACAATCTTCCCCTCACTATCTTCCTCCTTCAGCCTTCTGAGTGTTAGAATTATAGTCATGTGCCACCATGCCTGATAAAAATCTTTCTTTCGGTACCGGGGATTGAACTCGGGTCCTTGCGTTTGCAAGGCAGGCCACCGAACTGCTGAGCTAAATCCCCGGCCCATAAAAATCTTTATGAACAGCACATAGAAATATACATAGCTTTATCTGTTTCTTTGAATACCTTCATATTATTTCATCATATGGACGATTATTCAACATACCAGAGCAATGAAAATATTTGCACTATTTTTAGTATATTTAGACTTCTACGAACTAGAATACTTCAGCAAGTCTTCACACTATTTAGACATAATTATTAGATAAAATATATCAGTAATTCTTTAAAGTGAACTTGTATTTCACAACATCATCCTCGTAATCTGAGAACACTGATAGAGTGGAGCATGCGATTCTATTTGTTGGGTCTATTGCCACACTTGCTATTGGATTTGAGAATCCCTGGTATAGGTGTGACTATGCACTGGTCCAGGGCCTAGAATTTGAGAACCAGTGGCTCAGCCGGAACAGAAGTTTCTTTCTGAGTTTGTATACTGCAGGAGGAAACTGTGCAGTAAGTGAGTGGTAAAGTTTGGAATTGACCAGGTAATTATATATATATATATACGGTTTACCAAAACCTGGCTGTGCATCACATTCGTCAGGTAGCTGCATTCCTGAAAGCTATTTCTCCTTACCTCATTAAAAGAAATCTTCAGAATGTGAGATAATCTGCATTTTTATTAATTGTCCTCCGTAATCCGTAAGTACCCAACCTAGCCTGTAAGAACTGCTGTGGGAGGTTGCTAGACATGGAAGGCTATATATGGACAGAAGCTGCTTAAGTTTTGATGAAAAGAAGCACACGTAGGCCAGGTGTAAACAGCAGTTCAAAACGAGAGTAAAAAGGCACTGTGTGGTTAATAACCTGTTGTCTTAGTTACTTTTCTCATTGCTGAGACAAAATACCTGACACTCAAAAGTTAAAGGAGGAAAGGTTAATCTGGCTCACAGTTTGTAGAGAGGTTTCAGTCTGTAGTTGACTCACTCCAAGGCAGGGTGGCATGGCAGAGGGGCATCACAGAAGAGAAACAGTTCATGGCAGGCAGAAGGGAGCAAAGCAGCAAGTAACAAGCAGCAACAAGCATGACCTTCTTTCTGTCCCTTACATACTATCCAGGCTACGCATCCTTGTAACGGGTAGCATTCACATCCGGATGGGGCAGCCTTAGTCCTGCTATCACACCCTGAACCAATCCCAGCATCACATCCTTAATCCCAGCAACACATACTAGAGATACCCCCACCTGCCGAAGGCCCCACCTATGACCGCATGAACATTTGGGAGGACATCTAGATGCAAGCCAAGAGAACTGCCCAGACAGTGAAGACCTTTGGAACTGTGGAGAGAGAGAGAGCTACTTTAGGCTGCAAGACTGAGATATGTGCCAGGACTGGGGAGATCAGGCCTACAGAGAGGTGGGGAAAGTGCATGTACCCATTGCTAGGTGACCAGATCTGAGAGGTGAAAAGATAAGACACAGGCGAGCCCTGCTGTCACAGAGTTCATGATATGTTTGATGGAGTTGCTGGTAGGTACAGTGAGAAACAGTTTGAGCAAAATAAAATATAAAAAAAGGACTGGAGGGCCGGGGATTGAGCTCAGTGGTTCCACTGCCTGCCTCGCAAGCACATGGTCCTGAGTTCCATCCCCAGTACCAAAAAATATATATAGGGCCAGGGATTTAGCTCAGGTGGTTCCACCACCTGCTTCGCAAGTGCAGGGTCTTGAGTTTGATCCCCATTACCTAAATAAATAAATAAAACAGATAAAAGTAGCACTGGGCTGGGGATTTAGTTCAGTGGTTCTGAGCCTGCCTCACAAGCGCAAGGTCCCAAATTCAATCCCCGGTACAAAAAAAAAAAAAAAAAAAAAAAAA